TTTTCATTCTTAAATGAAAAAATAAAAAATATGGGACTCCGATAGTTGATATGATGGGTTTTTAAAAGACTTTGGCCAACTCCTGTACAGTAAGTGGAAAGCAGGACTGTCCTCCTTAGGGACCTCTCAGTGACTTTGAGGATAAAAGCTCATTTTCCTCTTCCCTAAATCCTGCTGCACTGAACATTATCCAAACTGCAAGCTAATGCAAACTCCTGGCAGAACTTCAAAGCAGGGAGGGCTGGTGTCTGTCTCACTTCCTTTGCCCCTTTTCCTCCCCTGCCCTACCCCCTCCAACTCCAGCAGAGTAACAGCAGATACAACTGAAATCAAACTGATCCCTGACCTAGAATTGAGGAAGTGACTCTGTTTGTATAGGAGGTCAGTCATGTTTGCTCTAAAAATACAACTGCACTTGAAGGACAGAAAACCTGAGGTGGATTAATCGAGTCCAACAAAAAAAAATTGTTGTGGTTTTGAATATTAATGAGTTTAAAAAAAACAGACAGAAGGCAAGTTTGCTAAATGTGAATGTTGAGATGAACTTTATAGCTTTTTAGTATCATTAAGTTTTAATGGTGATAATATATTTCATCAATAATTCAGAGGCATTTTAAGTATGAGTGTATTTTAAATGCAAACAGTATAAATCTTCTTCAGTCCAAAATCACATTAAACTAGAAAGGCATTCAGAGGGTGCAGCACTCCACCAAGGTCAGTGCAGTTAATATTTTAAATAAAGTTTAATGGTTTAATGGTTTAGCCTAGTCTCCATCTCTCCAAGAAGCTTTACGACATCCAGCCTAGTAGTTACTATATAGACAGAAAAACAGACAAACCAACATCGTTGAAACAGCCCAGGGCTTTATCCCAAAATTACTTTAATAACCAAGAAAATGATCTAGAGAGTTTGCCAAGATTTTCCTCCTTGGCAGTGCTCCACATCTCCACCAAGATTCATGAACTTCAGCCAGTTCATTTTTCCATAATATTGCTGACAGACTGATAAATAGTACTTAAAAATTACCCCTGTTGTGGCTACTGAACAGAAACACACAATTTCATTATCAAATCATAGATGCTTTCATTACTTGTTACAAAAAACGGTCATCTCAAGTCACTAATCACAGATATATTAAGAACTTGATTCAGATTGGTTAGATGGCTTCCTTTAATGAATTGGAATAAAAGTAGTTCAGTGGCTTCCATAATACTGGGATGTACCACATTATACTGCTATTTTTGGGCCCAGAGAGCATGCTCAGCATCATTCTTAATAGTCGAGTCCATAAAGAGCATGGACTAGTTGGCTGACTTCCTGTTGGCTCCACATAAACACAAACAGCACTTAAATAAAATAATCAGTGACTCTTTGTTTCCAGATGATTTTGAACCCCATGGATCAAATTAAAAAGGTTGCTGATCCTAGAATATTTAATATTGTTGATGATCTGGATCTGGAGCTCCAGTCACACAGGCATAGAGACTAGTTGGCAACCACTTGGCAAACACCTGTCGCTAGGGGAAAATATATAGTCCCAGACTGATTGTTGGGTGTTTCTGGTTAGCAGACAAGTTAATCTTCCATGCAAAATAGGAGACCACAGCAATCTGCTAGTGACAAAAACAATCACAAGGAGGAAGCACGTTCTATGGGACTGATTTTGCCTGGTAACTACTCGCCAGCCAGTCAGGGAATACACATTTTTAACTGGATACTACCAGGTTTTTCTGACCAATTTCTAGGCCTGTGTGAGTAAGGTCTAAATATATAAAATGCGCATCACTGACTTTTGTCAGGGCACTGTCACTGACTGACACTTTGTAAAGATGTGGGAGGGTGCTAGGTCACATTTGCAAACATACCAGTATACATGATGTCTGATGATTTAATTTAGTGGACAAATGTGATCAAAAGATAAAACAAAACAATTATAATATATGGTATTTTATTTCAGTTAAGAAATTGACAAGCACTCATCAGTCAACATATTAAAACATTTGTACCACGTGTGCAAACTCACACGACGGCTCCTTAAAATAAATACTTTTAAGAGGAAATAATACAGACAGAATATGTAAGGCTCAAACCACACGGACGAACAAATTCTCCAAATGTCCAAGAGACGAAAGGGTCTGAAAGTTCCCAAAGTCACCCCGACTCTCCAATGAAAGGTGTTTGTATAAAACAGCTAGGTACTTTTAAAAATACAGAATCTTACAAAAAGTTTTATTTTTTCACTTCTTTAAATCACTGGAAAATATCAGCTGGTATTATGACAAGAAATCAGGAAATTTTTCCATGTATAATCATAAAAAGACAGAATGTGCTTCTGCATTTTTACATTAGTATTCACATACATCGTGAGTGAACTGCATTGAGAAAGTCCTCCACACCTCGGATGGTGCTGTGATGGAGAGTGGTGTTTAGCGCAGGGCCGCTCCCCATTGTTGCATTATGCATCGATCTTGCTATCTTTTCAAAATAGCTGCAGTATACCCTCAACGCCCAGGCTACGTAAAACACACTTCACAGCCAAGTGTTCATTGTCTTTATAGGTTATATTAAAAACAGTGTTCACATTTCTGCATATAAAAACAAACCAAAAAAAGTAAAAAACAATATTCTTTTCGACAATTTGTCATCTTTCCAATGGTCCAAAAGAAAGAACAGCCATCAACAGGAGAGGATTTTACAAGTTACAGTACAAAAATGTGATCCCGGTGATAGCACATGAAGCATGCACGTGTTTATGTCGCCCTGCTCAGCCCTAAAACCCTCATGCGAAGACATACTGTATAAAAAGGCCACATGGCTTTTCCTTCTTTTTTTAAATGCACAGGTACTCCGACAGCTGACCTCTTTGCCCTACTCATCCGAAGACCAACAGAAGGTGAGTTTGTTTTTATCTTATTTGGGACTCCACTGTAGATATGAAGCCTCTAAGGGTCAGTACGAGTGTTTGTTTGGTTGAAGCTACTCACACCGGGGGGGGAGGGGTCAAACTAGCTAAAAATACAAAGTCATGGAAAGGTCCTGTGATGGGAAGAAGAGACAGACCTGTAGTTTCATTGTTGACAGGTGAAAAAACGCTTTGAGAGATTTTGAAAGCAAACATCTCAACACTGAAAAACCTTTGACACACCATCTTTTCTCAATGGAAAGAGAAAATCGTACAGTCGACATGACTTTGATGTCCTGAATGTCCTTTTTGGACTTTATAGTGATGAAAGGTTTGTGAAGAAGAACCATTTCATAATATATTTTTAACAGTTTTTAATAAAACAATCATTCTTAACCCGTTGCACTGGAGGCCGTGGTTGGCCTGATGAGCTTCGATGCTGTGTGGTTAGCTGATCATAATCATTTCATAACCAAATATGTCATCAGTCAAATGTTTGTATGAACAAAATCCAGAGATATTTGTCTGCTCTTGATAATCAGATCAATAGTTCTTGCTTTGCAAGAGACGATCTGACTGAACAACTGTTGCACTGAAACAACATGAGCAGGTCTGATTGGGAAGATAACGTTAATGTTTCAACGGCTTGCTGGATATTTATTGTTTCAGTGGTTTAAGTCTAGCAGTTGATAACACTCATATCTTTTGTTACAGCTGGTAGGTAGTTAGCTTATCAAGAGGAAACAAGAGGAAAAGCTGTTTGAAAGTGATGTATGAGTGGTTTACAGTTTCTGTGAGCATGCTAGGACTAGCTTGGTCCAACTTTACAGTACACCATACATACAAGACACCACATTGTCTGGCATTAAGGTGGACTTCAAAGAAGTATAATATGAGTGACTACTCCTCTGTGTTGTCTAAAGCCATCCACAACTGAGTAATCCCCACATGACTGTTGGCTACAGTTGCTTGAAGGCTAGCAGGAAGGCTAGCTGTTAGCCACGCTAAGATTATAAGCTATAGCAGCTGTATCTTTTCCAAAGAATTCATTTTCTTATTCAAGCCTAATCAAGTTGAGTAAGCTGGATTGGTAGTTCAAAAGGCTAACCTAGAAACTGTGATCCACTCATGCTTGCATTCACAACTACGGCCAATTTAAACTCACCAATTAACCTAACATGCAAGTCTTTGGACTGTGAGAGGACACCGGAGCACCTGAAGGAAAGCCATGCAGAACAGCCAGCCAGGAAGTTCAAATCCAGAACAGTCTTGAATCATTATTCCATTAAAACATGAAAATGATCAATATTTGAGCTGGAAGTTTCTCACCCGTGAACACTGACCTGTTTGTGTGTTCACAAATCTCACAAGCAGTTCTTACTGCGTATTCAGGGTTCATATATACTGTATGAGCACATGTACAAAAGGCAGTTGGGCTTGAGCTTGAGTCCTCTGCTCCCTCTTCTTTAGATCATCCCAGATAAAAATGGGACATCTCTAAAACAGCTTGTTTTTTTCCTTTTTTCCTACTCTTAGTGTAGAGGCTAATGAAGCCCTTCAGCTTTATTTTATATCTGTTCCATAATCTTTTGTATGGTAAAAACAAAAACAACAAAAGCATAACTTAAGATAAACTCTTTAGGCACTGTTTGATTTCCAAGGCTTTCAGTTGTAGACTGTGATTAAAGGTCAACAAACGGAAATTGAAAAAAAAAAAAATTAATAATAAAAGAAACAACAGAGATTGATGGCTCTGCAGACGAAACACTTTCTCCTCTCTGATATATCAAGGTCCTCCAAGTCCACTTGCACAGCCAGACAGACTCACTACAAGCTCTGTGGTGGAGAAGTTATAAGGGCAGAAAGTGTCTAAAGCAGGTGTCCCCAATCCCAGTCCACGAGGGCCGGTGTCCCTGCAGGTTTTAGATGTGTCCTTGATCCATCACAGCTGATTTAAATGGATAAACTACCTTCTCAACATGTCTTGAAATTCTCCAGAGGCCTGGTAAAGAACTAATCATGTGATTCAGGTGTGTTGACCCAGGGTGAGATCTAAAACCTGCAGGGACACCGGCCCTCGTGGATTGGGATTGGGGACCCCTGGTCTAAAGGGTAAGTCTGTATAAGTTCTCAAGGTTAAGTTTCAGTTCCAGTCTTTAACGAATCTTTCTCCTTCATAAACAGAAAACAAAGTTTGCATCTCAACCCATTATCTTCTGGGGAATCTCTATAGAAGCCTTGATGAAGATGCAGTTGTCCCGGACGTAGTTCCTCTTCTTGATCTCCTCGTGCGAGATGAACTTGGGGTAACCGAAGCCCAGCGTGCTCTCGTCCAGCGAGTTACGGCTGCTGCAGGGCTTCTGGAAGTTCTTCCAGTTAGGGTCGGGGTTGAAGGTCTCCGTGATGTGCTGGGGTTTTGAAAGCGATGGGTCGCTCTGGTCCAGAATGGAAAACGTCACCTTGTAGGAGAAGGGCCACTCCAGCAGGTTGTCATATTCTCCGGGCAGCACGCGGATATAGACAGAGAGGTGAGAGCCCTCACCACTCCCATTACCATTGAGGAAGGCTGACACCTGCAGCTTGTAGCCATAGCGGTGAGTGTAGAAGGGCGGGCTGAAGAACTCATGGTTACTTCTGAGTTTGGCCTCCTGGAGTTTCCGTGAGTAGTCACTGAGTTTCCAGATGAGTACGCCATCGTGGCTTACAGACAACTCCTCCATCTCCCTCCGCAGCTCCAGGATCTCCTGCCGCTGACGACCCACCAGGTTACACATCATGGTCAGGTGGGACTTAGTGGTGTCTTCCAGGTGACGACCAATAGCCAGTTTGGGGCACTGCAGAGAACGGGGAATCTGATTATAAAAACAAAAATTGGCTTCCCATCAGTGTAAAAGAATGCTTTTGCGCTAATCTTAGTTATTTATAGTATTTCTCCCAGGTTTTATACAGTATGGGACACTTAAAACTTCCTGTGTATCAATTAATAATAAAACAAACAGTAATATGATGAAGATGAGCATGCTCAGACTGCAAAGTGAATCTGCACTCTGCTTTTGTGTTTGTACTTTCCATCAGGCCATCTTTAAATAGAACAAGTCAAGCTCTCCAGATGCTTTTTAAGTCTTAACAGAACACCAAGCCGGAGTTTGGTGCTCATAAGTCACTCTTCCTCGAGCATATCCACATTTCTCCAGATTGATGTGGGTTTTATAAATAGACAGAAATGCACTGTCAGAGTGTAGAAGTGTTGATCTCATTAAAATAGACCCTACAGCCACAGCAGTGCATGTCTGAGAAGAAGAAAGGCAATACTTTGGACACATTTACCAAGGACCAGAAGTTTCCTTCTTGGACAACAAAGGCAAAACATTTGACAAGTCATCTCTTAAGGTCAAATGATGCAGGTCTTACCCTGTGTTTGCACCCGGCATCTTTAAAGGGGCAGAGAACGAGGGCGCTACCGCAGTTATCCTTCATATGGTTAGCCAGGTCCTCTCGGGCAATGTTGGGTGTGCCGCATTGGTTTGGGCACTGGACAGGAAAGCGAGGGCAGTGGTACTGATGGTTCTGCAGAGGACAGACAGCATGACCAGTAAGAACACAGACTGCACACCAAGGCTCAGATTAATAGCTGTACAGGGGAAAAGAAGCCCTTGAAAGTACCCCCCAAAACTTGGGTTTAAAAATGAGGCTACAGAGATAAAAAGCATAAAATTATTTTTATTTTAGCTTCAAAGAAAAGAAATGAAACTATTTGTTATAGTAAATACGTTATGGTTTTAGATCCATGGCTGAATAAACCAAGGAAAGCAGTGGATCTGGTTAATTGTGATTAACATTTTTATACATTTTCATCCATTTTATAAATGTCGGCTGATCATTTCATAAACTGATTTCATTAAAACCAGTCTATAAAATGTCTTCCATATCTTCATGTGACGTATTATATTGCATATTATTGTAAATTAGTGTATGTTGTCATGGTAAAATCAGCAGCTGTTTGAGATACCCCATTATAGACTAGATGGCGACATGAGGAAGCAAGATAACACCTATCTTTGTAAACCAATTAAATGAGCAATACTGAGAAAAGCTCTGAATATCACGTGACAACGGAAAAAGCTCTTCAACACTAGTGTGTGCTATGACCAAGATTGGATTATTACATCTTGGCCTGTCACGTGGGGGGAGGGTGACACTGACTGCTCTGCCTCTGGCCAGATGTGTGCAGCAGGAGGTGCCTTCCCCATAACAAAAACCCAGAAAGAAAAAACAGCAGCTTCACACTAAAAATCCAGCTGCCACAAGACAGAGACACCATAAATGGAAACATCCTTCAGCTACAGCAGGTTTTCTCTTTGCCATCGGGCCCCAATAGGCTGAATTACAGACAGAAGATAAAATGTGTCTCTGCACTTCATCTTGCCAAACATAATTATTTCACTAATAAAAAATAAATACATTTAAAAAAGAAATTAAGGAGCCTTTTAGGAAAAATCACAGCATCTGGTCATAAACTTAATGTGAAACAGACCTGGATTGTGTCGAAGACGAACTCCTTGCCGCAGTACTTGCAGGGCTGCGTGCGTTTGGGGCACTCGGCCATGCTGTGTTGGGACAGCAGGCGACGCATCATCCTCGCCCCGCACTTGTTCTCGCAGTAAACGCTCTCTTGAGGACATACACCCTGGTGATTCTGGAATGAGAAAAATAAAAAATTAGATCGGGGTTATGACATAAATCTATGATTCAGACATGGAGGTGTGCATATTTGATGGTGTCTTTTATTTAAACTGCATTTTAATTAACAAAATAATGCCTGTTAAAATTGGGTTATACTGAATGTTATTGCAGCAATGAACACACCTGGATCCATGAATAGTAACGAATCATGGGGATCTAACTGGATCTTAATCTAATAACAAAATGTTCACCAATTATATCTAATGGTGTCCAGCACAGAAAGCAAAACCTTTTTTTACCCATTTTATATTGCTAGATTTGTGAGGCAATTTAGTTCCATGTATTACCACTACTTTTCCAGTAGCCACGGGAACTGAACTGAATTAATTTAATAAAAATAAAAACTGTATATTTAGTTTTAAAAAATGACCTAAATAAAACAGTCTTCCATTCAAACATTTTTTTAAAATTCAAATTAAAGTGTTTCTGCCACTGACCATTTGTTTTGGCATTTTGCCAACTTTCAAAACTTAAAATTTCACATTACACATGTCAGAATTTTGACTTTTTCCAAATTTATGCATCTTGAAATTTCAACTCATTCAGAAATAACTCCTCATTTTCAGATAATAACCTAAAATTATAAGATAGAATATAATATAATAATGAATTGCATTTATATAGCACTTTTCGGGGGCCCTCAAAGTGCTGTACAATTCCACTATTCATTCACTCTCACATTCACACACTGGTGGAGGCAAGCTACAGTTGTAGCCACAGCTGCCCTGGGGCAGACTGACAGAAGCGAGGCTGCCATATCGCCCCTCTGGCCATCACCGGTAGGCGGTGGGTGAAGTGTCTTGCCCAAGGACACAACGACAGAGACTGTCCGAGCCGGGGCTCGAACCGGCAACCTTCCCGTTACAAGACAAACTGCTAACTCTTTGAGCCACGATTGCCCTAATAACGCCTTTATTGTCACTATACAGTTGTACAATGAGATACAGAGCATCTCCTACTCAGTGCAAACATGCCTGTTAGCACTGCAGCACTATATACATATGGAGAGTATTAACAGAGAAAAAATATATAAAATGTACAAATATACAAAATTATAAGATGATAACTCTTAAGTGTTATTATCAACTTTAAGTGGTAGGAACAAGCTTTCGCTTCTAATGTGGATAAACTCATTAAATTGTTAAAAATACTGTTTAAAATTAACACCACATTGTAGGGAATTGTTAGCTTAAATGCACGGCTAACAGTTGTTAGCTAAGAGAAACAAAGTAACAAACTATATTTAATTTACTGTACAAAAACCTAAAATAGCTATCTATAAATATAAACTTATTGTTTAACTTAAATATATAGATAACAGTTGCTAGCTAATAACTACACTACAGTAGAGACAAACAATTTAAGCTGTTAGCTAAACTGTAGCTGTAAAATACCTATGAAATGGAATAGCTTCAAAAAGCTAACAAATAGAATTATAGATAAATAAGTCATATTTAATAAATGACAAGTTGAATGCAGTTGCTAAGAGTAAATGGCAACCTCGAGCTAACATTAAACAATGTGAGAAACAGTGTTAATGAAGGAGTCTTGAGTCCAAGGCTGCAAGAGTAAGATATTTAGTTATTTTATAAGTATAACCAACTTTGTAGAAACTTTAACAACCTATTTTTTTTGTCTTGTGAATAAATGAATTTTCTGAGTACTGCTGTTAATCTCAGCAGCTTAAAGGCACATCCATATAAATGCTTACATTAGATATTAGGATTATTGGTAAAGGTCAAAAGTATATTAATGTTCCTGTAATATTGGGCAAAGGGGAAAGCAGAGTAAACAGAGGAGGGGCAGGCTGGCAGTAATGACAGAGGTGCTAGTGAGAAGCCTGAATTACTTCAGCTGTGGAAAACACTTTCAGCATGAAAGACACGGTTATATATTCTTTCTTTCTGCCAACACACGTGTTATTTCAAAATAGACCTAGACTCTCCGAGGGCTCTGACACGTGCATTCACTTTTCCTCCTGCTGCTTTCAACAAAAACACCTTTCATATAACCATGGAAATCGTGTGCTGTCACATGAAGTTGTTTACAATGAGAGAGAAACCATAATAAAAATGATTTTTTAAAAAAAAGGTGTGAAGTGCTTACCTCATAGGCTTCGCCGGTGAACTCGCTGCCACAAAACTCACACTTGACCTTGCGCTTGGGGCAGTCGTGCTGCAGGTGGTCGGGCAAGTCGCGGCGCGTCAGCTTGACTGAGCAGCGATTGGGGCAGGGTATCACATTGAAGGCGCAGGTGGAGAAGTGGCCCTGAGAGACACAAAACAGGTCATCAGAATCACCCCACATGCTGGGTGCAGCAGTGGAGGAAGGAGGCATGTATCAGAGGGCATGGCTTCTTACCTGCAGCTGCTTCATCTGGCCAGTCCAGCGACAGCCCTCCTCGCTGTGGATGCATCGGATGGGCAGAGCCAAGATCTGCTGCTCCAGCTCTGGGTCTGGGTAGATCTAAACAGAAAAGCAAGAGGAGGTTGGTGTAGCAGATCCCAGGATGTGTCCCCACTGGTTAAATGCATGTGGCTTTGACAAGTTTTTGCTACATTTGTAAGCTTTGTCATTACTTTGAGGGTAGGAAATATGGGATAAATGAGACACTGGTTAAGTGAATAATGGGAAATCATAAACCAGAATACAGACACTCAGTGGCTGCTCACAGTTACACACACTGGAGATTTATATTGCAAAAAGGGTAAATGCAGCCCTCATCAGACTGCAGCACAGTGACTCAAGCCAAGCACTGCAGTGATAATGAGTAAGTCTGTCGTTTTATGGGACCTCTGAAAGAGTCAGAGAGGGGAGAAAAGAGGAAAAGATTTATTTATTCTTGGTCACAGAGCGATAGGGATGAGTCAGTTTTCTGCCCAAACACCCCAAATCCTTCCCTACAGTACGCTGTCCAGAGGATTTACGGCTCTTTCGCTGCATCTCCATCCCTTGTGCTGTCACACGAAGCACGGGCAGAGCACTGATCAAACAAGAAAAGCCACTTCCTCAAAATGTCACAACAGCCCTCCGAACAAATAACGGCTCCCAGAAAGTGCCCGACTGCGCTCACGTGTCTCTGCCATCGCCAGCAAGTTAAAAATTCATTTGGAAAACGATCTGCAAGGAAACCCTCGTCGTCTCTCTCATTGTTTGCAGCAGCTTTGTTAGGAGATAGACGCCTTTTCAAGTGTTTTAAAGTACATCTCTGAAGTGAAATGACATCCACAGAAAGCGACTCCATTTACACTGAAGGAGCGGTTGAGATTTCAGTGCCATAATCACATTCTCTGAGAAGAAACAAAGAGCAGAAAAAAAGTCCTCTAAAGCACACTGAAACACTCTCTCATTGTTACAGTCTTGGAATTTGCAGGAGGACGGCAATAATGACCTTTTAATAAGTTAGTCGCAGGCAGATCGGGGGGGTTAATCTCTTTGGAGCTCCAAGTTGGGGGTTTATTCTGTCTGCTGCAGCAATTGTTGGCCGTGCACTGCTGCTACAGCAGAAACAGTGCAATCCTTTAATGACTGCAACACTGTTGTTCTGTGGGAGCGAGGTTGTGTTTGTGCACGTTTTCGAAGGACAGTGTTCAGCGAGCGTTACAACAACCCTGACAGGGACCACCAGGATGGGGTAATTTACAGGCGACTGGGAGCCTTGGCAAATAACAGCGTCTGACAGGTGTGCCATGAGCACATCCTTCCCGTGGGGAGTCCCTGCTATTACAGGCGCCTTCATCGCTCTGAGCACAGCATGCAGACCTGCACTGCTGCCCCGCTGAGCCTGCTGCAGCTCGAGGTTAAACCCTGATAATTTCCTTTGTTTTTTAATGAGTTTTAAGGTCACAAAAATCACCTTATTCCTCCCCGCCTGACGGTATCAGCTTTCATTAAATCTGAACGATGATGAACTTCTATTTAGTGCAGTCATCTTTTTCTTTTTCCAGTGGCTTTGAATAAATGAGCTTTGTGCACATAGAACAAGATCATAAAGAGTAAAGTTAACAAACTGCATGGGAGACTTATCAACTGAAGCCTAACGCTGCACTGAAAAGGAGATGATCCTTTCCTGCCCCTTATCCTTGTCTTCCAGTCTCTCATTTTGCAGTGGGGGTGTGGGTGTGTGAGAGCCAGCCGCCGACTCTGAATACAGTTAGTCATTATCTTTTCCCCCTGAGCACAATCTGATTAACTGCATTTATTGTTCAGCTGAAATTTCTTCTGGACATAAAGAGATGTATTAAAAGAGGCGAGGGTGGGGTGGTACTAGTTTTAATAGATTTTCCACTGACTCTGACTCTCAGTTAAAACAAGGATCTGTAAACTTACTTTCAAAAATTCAGCTTTTATCACACCATTATAAAGTCAAAGCCATCACCCTAAAGCAGTTTTTCTGATAATTTGCATTTACATCCGGATTCATGACTCCATCTTTATCTAATCTTTGTACTCGTTAGACATCTGATTTGCATTCGTTCCTAGTCAGGCCAGTGTAGCCCAGTTTATTTACATCCTGAAGCAGATGAATGCAAACAAAACAAAAATGCTACAAAGCTAGCATTTTAATTATTCTAGCATCTAGTGGCATGTTGTTACATTGATCATCTCCAGTCTTATCTGTACTCTGTGTTTAGTTTAAATGCTAGCGTGCTAAATTTCTCAACCACAGGGGTGATCACAGTTAATGTATCTGCTTAAAATCTGGATGCTAACGTGGTAGAAATTCTGTACAAATGGTCAATTCTTTGATCTGGTGCACATCAGCTTGGTCACACAAGCATTTTAGCACACTCACGTTACTTCACGGTGAGCTGTATCATGGCTATTATCACCTTTGGCCTTGCCAAATAGAACTCTTTGAAAACTTCCAGTGTACAGACATCCATAAACAAGGCGAAACTGAGTTTAAAACATGTTCTGTTAAGTGTTTTGTTTAACTTAGGTAATGTTGTTCAGTTTGCACATGACACAAAAGTCTGAGGTTTCAAGAACATCTTTTATGCTGTCCATGTCTCAAAGCAAGTCATTCCCCATCGGCTTTTGGCAGAGGGTATTTTTGGTCGCTCCCTTATTTCCCAAATGAGGTCATTGGAGTGGATGGATCCACATCTTTTATCTGACACAGATTTTATACCAGGTGCTGCTTTTTTTTGTTTTTGTTTTTTGTTACATAACCATCCCATTTATCCAGACTTGGGACCAGCACTTGGACTACCATATGCCCCCTGAGCCTGGGTTTGTGTCTGCCCCTGGGATCGGAACCATACAAACCACTACATTATGGGGTCATTTGTTCTCAATAGACTCCCATGTTAAAATACCCCACTTCACATCAATTAAAAAAGGTTTACAACCTAGAACTAAATATATTTGACCTCTATGGATATTTTCCTCCTTCAAACCAACTAAACAGGGTCTGTTTTTTTCACATACTGCAGTAGGGGGTGTAGCTGGTTTGATTGACAGAAGTGTAACCACTCAGTGTTTGCTAGGCCACAGCTGCTAATTGGAGTCAGTGAAGTGAACCACTCAGCTGTGTTTGTGCTGTTATTGCCTTTTGGAGCATTTTCAATGGAAATTATTGGGACTTGCACTTTGGTATAGCCCGTCCAAGATATATCCACTAATTAGCATTAATTAGCAACTCCAACCGCTCATCTAAAATATGCTAATTTGCCCCTCAAAAACAAACAAACAAACAAACAAACAAACAAAAACAAACAAAAAAACAAAAAACAACAAAAAAAACAAAACATGGCAGCGGACAAAACACATGTTGAGGCTTCCAAATGTGGTGGGTTTGGTTCATGTTGTTACCATGCTGATTTTTCAACTAAGGAGGGAAAAATGTGCTTTTAAAAATACTCCTGCATGTGTGGGTTTGGCTTTAGTTTGGGATTAGGAGTGTCAGTCGTACCTTGGCATAGTCTAAGGGCAGCTGATCCTCCGGACACTTGAAGACACCCTCACTGCAACAAAAAAACAAAAACAAAAAAACAGAAACAAAGAAAAGTTTAGTATTGAATGAAAAGAAGACAGAGAAAACAAGTTTAAAAGCAGACATTTTAAAACCACACTGGCCCTTGGACAGAGCTAAAAGGCTCTTCTATAATAGTCTGAAAGAGCAGCGTTGCTCTGCCCTTAGTGCTTCTCTGTCTCTTCGCATACACTTTAAAGCTGAAAAGTTCTCTGACTGATCATGCTGCGTGACGCACTCTCATGCACAGTGATGTCAGGTCTGTGAGCTGCTGACTTTAATGACATTGGCTCTTCTGTGTTTGACCCCTCAGAGGACACGTCTGCACAGATTTATATGACTGCAGAGGACAAAACTACACTGTAGAGCTTCATCTGTTTTTCTCTAAAACATAAAGAAATGATTGTGAACCCCACTGTTTAGCTTCTTTTTCTATTTCTCTTTTTGCTCTAGTACCACAGCCGACATAACAAAGTTCTTGTTTTAACAGGCTTCAGTTTTTCTCAGTATACAAACTGAGCCTCGCCTTCATGCTCGAGGCTCATCCTCGGGACGATTTGCCGATCTGCTCCCATAACAGTGAGACGACTATTTTCTGCATTTTTCCCCTGGAGTAGTAAAACCCCAAATAAGACTTTAACACCCACTTTACTACATACCCCCTGTGCAGTTTTTGTGGCGCCACAAAAGTGCATTCAGCAGCCCGTTTAAGGTCCAAATGAGTGAGTGCCATGGCTCATTAGGGCAGCCGTCTCCCAAACTCCCAGCCCTGATGTTGTCATAAAATATTCACACTTCTAAATAATAGAGGCAGCAGCCACTAGGGGTGAGCTGCTATACAGCGCCGAGGCTCACAGCTGCACAGCAGACACTTCTACACACACAAACTTAAACAGACAAAAAATAAATAAAAAAGGAGGCAATCATGGCTCATCTCCTGAGATTTTAACCATGTTATGATCATCTGGAGCCTCCCTGTTATTTTTGAGTCACACATGTTATTGTTGAAAGTCAGGCCATTTAAAAGATGTCACCTTGTGAATCTGTTCATGATAAATATGATCACACGATCATGCTCAGGCTTCACACTGCTATAACGGTTTGTTTTCACACAGTTTTTCTACTCTTTTCTCTGTGTGTTGTCAAAAAGGGGTGACCTCCGCAAGTACACACGTGTCCCCCCACCTGCTATGTAAACCTTGTATTTGTGAAGGTCAGCCAATCAGACCAAAGCTTAAAACAGCAAATTTCTTACATATGAAAAAAGTGAAGGGGTCAGGATGAAATTATTTATGCAAAGCTACTGTAGCTGAAGCTAATATTAAAAATACAGAGCTGGAAATCACTATAACTGGTCCTAATTTCAGCAGTGATTTTGCCTAAAACTACAAAGAAAACAAAACGGCAGGAGAAATGTGTTCTGCACAAAAGCCCTGAAGCTTCATCTGACCTGTGCAGAAGCCTCTCATAACCCCGACCACGGCCACATTATGCTTAAACTAATTAAGGGACAATCGTATGCAAACAGTAAGTGTATGCCTTTTGGTGCTTTAATTTGCTTGGCAGTGTCACCTGACTGCAGCTCCCAGAGGCACAGGGACATGTGACAAGGCGGGAGTGCATGTGCACCCCCTGTCTAACCAGCTGCTGTGAAACCAGAGAGTGAGCAGCAAATGGGGGGGGGGGGGGGGGGGGGCAGAGGTTAGGCCTGAGATGGAGGGAGGGTTGATGAAAAAAAAAAGGGGGGAGGTTAATGCATGACGAGACAGCAGTAATTCTCTTCCATTAGGGTCACTGTGTCAGCAGGGAGCTGGAGACCAATTAACAAACCCACAACGGGCTGTAAAAGGAGGTCAATCGATTAGAGGCTTCGAGAGCCCAGTCAGCATCTCGTGTGGTGTGAAATCATTTACAGTATTCGTGGCCATCGCAGATTTAGAAAGCGCTGCCTGTCCCACAACTGTAAAGCGAGAGGAGATGGGAGGCGACAGGCTCTGCGCTCTGGACAGGGGGTGATGTAGGCGCAGGCAAGGGTGGTGGGGGTTTACAGCCCGAGGCCCCATCCAACTCGGGCCATGCATCTGACACACAGAGAGGCAGACAGGCGAAAAGAGCCTAGTCACAGACTGTCAGGATAATTCCTTCCCCGGTCACAGAGAAGCTCCCACAGCTCCCACACATTCATGTGTTCGGCCCCACGAGCGATAACGCTGCCCGACTCTCTCGGGTCGCTCTCGAATCGAACTCTCTGTCGCTCCATGACAGCACATTAGCAGTGAACAGCGGGGCTGATGTGAGACACAGCTCCGGTTCAATTCATCCATCTTCTCTGCCAAACAATTTCTTTGGCTAGCGAGAGCTTTCTAGAAGAAATGAAATATAACCCACAGATTTGGGTACAGTACAGAATACTCTGCTACAGGACTGCTTCAAGCGACATGTTTACTACAGAAAATGATTATCTGGATATTGATACAAATTCGTTTTTAAGCATTTATCTAAGAGCACAAAGAAAAGACTGGAAAACTGGTAGAAAGATCAATGGAAAGTTGAACAGGTTCTTATACAGTGCATTTCTACTCACTTGGAACACTCCAACCACTCCAGGATCAAACTACCAACCTCTAAGTTAGTAGGTAGATCAGGTCAACTGCTAAGCTATAGCCACCCTATCTAAGGTGAGATTTGAACCTGGGACTCTACATTATCCTTGTGATACATCCTGCTCAATCCAGTGAGCTAAAAAAAGCAAAAAATTGTTTTTTCTAAATGCTTGATGGTTCCAAATGTGTACAATTTTTCATTCAAACAATTTTCTCTCGTATAGTTACAAGCACTACTTTGGACAGATGTTTAATCCGACAAACAAAGCGATCTGAGGACGTCACCGTGGGCTGCGGGGAATTGTGCACTTCTACTGGACCTTGACATTTTATAGCACTTTACACAGTAAGCAATTAGCAGATCAGTAGTAAAAAACATTGCACAGGACAGCCGCAGCCTGACTAAAGCTACTATAGGGTAAACATTACTATTAAGCAAAGCCTTGAGGGTAAACTTGAACTGTGCACGTGGGAACTCGCACCCCACAAACTTCTTCTGAAATGAGTTCATCATAAATGTGCATAACAGTCGAGATGCTGGTAAACAGCGTTTCGGGGCTGTGTCGGGGAGTCACGGGGGAGCAGCTTAAGAGCGCATAGCATGCAATTTAACACAATCACTTCATTAAAATTTGATCTCCCCCTTCTGTCCACTCAGCTGCTCTCAGGCATTCTTAATATCACCTTAAATTCACTGGTAGGCGACACCGTCACATCGTGTTAGGGGGTAGAAAACACATTCCCCCCACTGCAGGTGAAATACACCCACCCACCTACCCACCAATCAGCCCTTAAATCCCTCTTCCCTCTAATTGCCCTCTCTTTCTCTCCCCTGTCCTTAAATCTTTTCAGGCCCAGATTAAACAGTCGTTCATTCATCCAGCTGATACCACGAGGACAGCCGTCACAACATGCTTCGTCACTCTGCGCGCAACTCCTGACAGGCAGACGGTGAGGAGTACAAATCCCTCAGGTTTAATCTCACCGGTGCAGAGCGGAGTGGTGTTTTTCCAAGAGACAGCGACCGGCCTGCAGGCCACACAGAGACAACATGTTGGTGACAGTCTGCCTCAGAGTAACCTTGAAGCCTGCTCTGTATTGACTAAGAGAGAAACTCCTAAACAAACCCTTCTGTGTTTGCCATTGTGGCAGGCAAGGGCTGTCGAGACGCACAAAACAAACTAAATCAAAAGCACGAGAGCTTCGGAGAGCGCCAGTCTGTGGCACATTAACTCTCTGAGCAGACTTTTGTTATTGAGTCAGCTTCGGGAGCCTTGACTGAACTGCCCACTTATCTCTAGCCGGAGCTCGCTGCCAGCTTTTATGTTCATCCTTATGCTAAAGCCTTTTGTCTTTTCAAGATATAACCAGGATTAACTTTAATATGCACAAACAAAACCTTAAATTCCACCAGTGCGCTGCATGAAGGCTTTGGGTCTCACAGCTGAAACTCTTCTCGTTTCCTCTCAGGAAGTTGAGGGAAAACAAGACCTTTGTTTTATCTCATCTAAAGTTACGATAATCCCACAAATCCATCTGGTTTTGGGTTTATGTGTGCAAGAAGTCAGGACTTCCTTCGTCAAAGTCTCGTATTTTGAACACTAATGAGTACAGATTTCATAGAGACATCAGAGTATGAGTTTTATGGTTCAACTACATTTAAATGATCTCCTTTTTTGCAAGTTTGGGATACTTGATACAAAACAAAACATGTACCTCGAGTTTCACACTGTACTTTCTAACATTTTTTTTTTGTTTTCTGATGTTTCAGTTGCAGGATTAGGGTTTAAAATCACAATCAGTCTTTCTCAGTACAGAAAAACACCTTTTCAATAACCATTAACTAATTTGAGAAGATCCGTTTCAGCTATCGTCTCCCACTCTGCTCCAATTGTTCAGCAGGCCTGGCCAAAATGTGCCAGCGGTACTCGATGAGTCATTCTGTGAGTATAGGCGCAACCCTCTGGGAGCTGCCGGTTGCTAACAAAGCCCCAGAGTTCAACCGCACGACCAGAACTGCAAGCGAGGCAGCAGCATTCTTCGGTTCCAGGGTGTGTCAAACTATATGTGAGGCGGGCATAGCGCTTACGTGTTGAAGTAACGAGGATACGAAAGAGAAAGTAATAAGGAAAAGATTAGAGTTAAGGTAAATCATTTTAACCTGGGTTTTTTCCCGTGGGAGGGAAATAAAACAATCTAGCACGGACTTTGGACTCTGCATCCAACAAACTAAATAAAAATAAAAGTGCTAGCAGATTAAAGGAAAGGAACAACCTCCAAAAACGCAAAATACAGGCAAAGATCGGACTGTACTAGAACGTCTCAACCATTTTTACACGTGGACTCCAGTTCTGAGCCTTTTCATAGGTTAGATGTGAAAATGCAAATA